GTTGGCACATAAATTTCAACCAAATTTATGTTTAAATTTCAAATACAGTCAATGACACACATAAAGCCTATGATAAGATTGTTGTAGGTAATCACTTTCCAAAATGATCAACTTGCTCCGTTGAAGAGTATAAATAAAACGACGTCGTATCTCAACGACGTTATTCAAGATGCTCAAATGACACGTGGAGCCTATGAAAGATGGCACCTGTAGAGCCTACAGCAAGGACACCACATCGGATGAAACCACAAAGATCAATCCGATTAATCAGATATACGATTAATCATATAGCGCTATCATTCAAACTTCAAATGGCGCTATCATTTAATTTGAAATTCAAATTGAGGATGAGGCATTCTTATTGTCACGCCCCCAAACCGTCCCTAGTAGTTTGGTGCCGTGATGGCCAGTAATCCGTAATTACCGAAGGCCAACTTACAAAATTTCACACAGTCAGAGTATAAAATAAGGGGCTTACAAGTGCGGAAGCAATGTGTACTGAATCTAAATAGTCCATGAGAGCCGTGCATAGGTCCAATGAAATGACATACATCTTGATAAAGTTTTACAACTTAGATACAATAAGAAAATGAGATACAAAATACATCTTGACCAAAAGGCTTCTCAAGCCGACATATACAAATACACATGAGATCTAAGCTAAGAAGCATAATCTTCAAGATGGTACAAAATGCTAATCCAAAACATGCCGGCAAGGCACCCAAAAACACATCGGCATCACGTCTAGGCCTCATTGCCTTCTTGTTCATCACCTACATATATATATAGAGAGGGTGAGCTTGGATACTCAGTGAATGATATCAGAAATAAAGGTTTTGCATGATTGACATCCAAGATCTCTTCCAAAACAATACATAGTATACTTTACAATCAAGGGAAAAGTCAAGTTCATTTGCCGGCTTTCAAGTTCCTTGGATGTTAATAACATCTACTTATTTCAAGGGGTGATGACATATCAAGACAAGAGTGCAGTTGCATTATAGTCCCCTGCAACTAAGGACTTTCAAGAAATGTCATCAAAACAAGATAGTGCTTAATATACAAGTAGGGATAGTCATTCATGCCGAGATCAAATACTTTTTATCAAAACCGAGCAAAACGAGATTTATCAAAACAAGTATAACATAGCTTTATTTAAAATACCACTCACTTAGTTCTTCGAACGTCGGGGTCGAGACAAGCCCAAGTCCTACAAACACATGGCAAAGCCTATTGAATGCACTTTCAAACAAGTTTCATATGTATACCAATGATTTCGGAAACATGCTGGGTACCAACCAGGTCGAGGCCGAGGTTCCACACCTCCTCGCCGAGGTGTGTTCCCGAGGGCCACATGCAAGGAAAAGAGGTCGGGAAACTCTGGGGTTCCCTCTGCTGAGGATCATGAAGAACATGGGTGTGAAAACATGAAAAATACGAATGTTTGATCATAATCTGCCATCACAAATCTGAGGTTTTCGTGCTATGAGTTTGAAAACATGGACCTGGGTACCCATAGTTGGAAATCACGCAAGAACAAACACAAAACGTGAATCTAGGCAAAAAGCTTTTCGGATCAAAACAAGACTTTTTCTTCAAAACGCATGGACATTATTTTTCTCTTCTAAAATCGGTTTCAAATCAATGCGTGGCTTACAAATCATGTCCGATCATGCAATGCAATAACATGAACATAAAGAACATCATGAGTAGATCAAGAATCTAACCTTAGAACTCGGATCTAACGGTTCGATCTCTAGGAATCAAGCTTGAAGATCTCACTCTCTCACTCTAAAACTTCTTCTTCCTCCTCAGAGCTTCTCTCTCTAAAAGGTAAGGATATGATATCAAATGATAGGTTTTCTTGGCTGTTTTCAGATTTAACCTACTGCTGGACACGTGGCGTGACTGGTTGGGTTTCCTCAAAAGGTGGCTGACAGGCCAGACAAAAGCATGGTGAAGAGTGTTCAACAAGTAAAACGGTATGGGCTCTCTGGCGAGGCAGTGACATCGGCTAACAAAAGACTTCGGCAACTAAGGTGACAATGACCTCGGCTAGGAAGGACAACACTTGACTAAGCTGTGCCACATCTTGGCCTAGATGCGCCACACCTCGGTCTAGGTCATACCACTCCAGGACGAGATCACTTGGGTACAAAGGTAACATCTCGGCCAATGTAGTCAAAGCAAGGACGGAGGTCGACGAAGGGCTCCAAGATACTTCTAAACAGACGATGACCTCGGCTTGGAATGATCTAGGCGTAACGTAACCTAGGCTTGGCATAACATCGGCTAACATCACTCAGGCAAGGCGTGACCTAAGTCTCACATCAAGGAAGAAACAAGACAAGCACACAACACTTAGACAAGGCACAAGGCTTCAAAACAAGGCACAGACCCTACCCACTAAAGCAAAACAAGTCACAATATACAATGCAAGCTTAACAAGCCAAAACATACGGATGCTCATGAATATGACTAAGACATAAAATGTGGGTTCTTACAGTCTACCCTCCTTAAGGAAGTTTGGTCCCCAAACTTAAGCTACCTTGTCCTGCGAATAACTCCGGGTAACGAATTTTCATCTCCTCTTCCTTTTCCCACGTGGCTTCCTTGCCATAATGCTCCTCCTATTCAATTTTTACCATCGGTATCGACTTGTTCCTCAACTGTCTTACTTGTCTGTCAATAATTCTCATCGGCTTCTCTTCGTAGCCTAAGTCTTCATTAACCACAACCCCGGAATAATCTATTACATGCAGTGGGTCTCGGATATATTTCCTCAACATCGAAACATGGAACACGCTGTGGACTTGGCTCAAATCTGGCGGCAAAGCAAGTCTGTAGGCAACGGTATTAACTCTCTCAAGAATTTCAAATGGCCCAATATATCGGGGTGCGAGTTTACCCTTCCTCCCAAATCTCGAAACTCCCGTCATCGGCGAGACCTTCAAAAACACATGGTCCCCAATTTCAAATTCTAACTCCCTCCTTCTCTGATCGGCATAACTCTTCTGTCGACTCTGTGCGGTTTTAATCCTCTGTTGAATGAGTTTAATCTTTTCAGTTGTCTTTTGAATTAACTCGGGGCCAATTAGAGCTTTGTCTCCTACTTCCGTCCAACATACCGGCGATCGGCACTCCCTTCCATACAAAGCTTCATACGGCGCCATGCCTATGCTGGCTTGATAACTGTTGTTGTACGTGAATTCCACCAATGGCAGATGCGATTCCCAACTTCCCTGAAAATCCAACACACACAATCTGAGCATGTCCTCGAGTGTCTGAATCATTCTCTCTGTCTGTCCGTCGGTCTGGGGGTGAAAGGCTGTGCTAAATCTCAACTCGGTTCCCAAAGCTTCTTGTAGGCTCTGCCAAAATCTAGAAACGAACTTCGGATCTCTGTCTGACACGATGGACATCGGCACACCATGAAGCCTAACGATCTCATTCATGTACAATTCGGCAAGTCGGTCGGCATTGAACGTAGTCTTGACAGGCAAGAAGTGAGCTGACTTAGTAAATCTATCAACTATAACCCAAATTGAATCCATACCTCTTTGCGTCCTCGGCAAACCTACAACAAAGTCCATGGAGATGTGTTCCCATTTCCACTCAGGAATTGACAAAGGTTGAAGAAGTCCAGCCGGTCTCTGGTGTTCTGCCTTCACTTGCTGACAACATAGACACTGAAATACAAACTCGGCTATCTCTCTTTTCATGTTTGGCCACCAAAAGGTACGTTTCACATCTCGATACATCTTGGTACTCCCTGGATGAATGGCAAACTTGGAGCTATGGGCTTCTTGCAAAATCTTTCTCTTCAACTCTGGCACGTCGGCCACGCACAGTCTTCCTTCAAACTTAAGCACTTGATTTTCCATTGTATATCCCGGCCTCGGCTTGGTGACGAATTCATCAATTACTCTTCCGAGGAATTTATCCTCCCTCTGTCTGGTCTTCACTTCCTCAACAATGGTCGGTTCTGCTGAAATCGTTGTCAGGCACGCCATACTCCCAACTAATTTCCTGCTCAAAGCGTCGGCTACCGAATTCGCCTTACCTGGATGATACTGAATCTGCATGTCATAGTCTTTCAATAGCTCAAGCCATCTTCTCTGCCTCATATTTAACTCTTTCTGAGTGAATAAGTACTTCAAACTTTTGTGGTCAGTGAAAACTTGGCAAGATGTTCCATATAAGTAATGACGCCATATCTTCAGAGCAAAAACCACGGCAGCTAGTTCCAAATCATGGGTAGGATAATTCTTTTCATTGGGCTTCAACTGACGAGACGCGTACGCTATGACCTTACCTTCTTGCATTAACACGCAACCCAAACCCTTGTGTGAAGCATCACTGTAAATATGAAATTCCTCATTAGCCAATGGTAGTACAAGAACTGGTGCTGTAACTAACCTCGTCTTCAACTCCTGGAAAGCTGATTCTCTTTCATTGGTCCATTCATAAGCTGCTCCCTTCTTAGTTAATTGTGTCAATGGTACTGCAATCCTCGAGAAATCCTTCACAAACTTCCTGTAATAACCCGCCAAACCCAGAAAACTACGAACCTCGGACACGCTGGTCGGCGTCGGCCAATTCACTATGGCTTCAATCTTACTGGGGTCAACTGATATACCATCTTCATTAATCACATGCCCTAGGAATGAAATGCTGGAAAGCCAAAACTCGCATTTACTCAACTTGGCGTACAACTTCTTATCTCTCAAGGTTTGCAGGGCAAGTCTCAAATGATTCTCGTGCTCGCTCGTATTCTCGGAATAGATCAATATGTCGTCGATAAAGATAATAACAAATTCATCTAGGTACGGCTTGAAGACTCTGTTCATCAAGTCCATGAATGCTGCTGGGGCATTGGTTACTCCGAAGGGCATTACCAAAAATTCGTAGTGGCCATATCTTGTCCGAAAAGCTGTTTTCTCGATGTCCTCGGCTTTAACCTTCAACTGGTGGTAGCCCGATCTAAAGTCAATCTTGGAAAAGACTCGTGCTCCTCGTAATTGATCAAGCAAATCATCGATCCTAGGCAAGGGATACTTGTTCTTGATGGTCACCTTATTGAGTTCTCTGTAGTCGATGCAAAGACGAAGGGTGCCGTCCTTTTTCTTAACAAACAAAACGGGCGCTCCCCACGGTGAAGTGCTCGGCCTGACGAATCCTTTGTCCAACAATTCTTGCAGTTGCGATTTTAGTTCTCTAAGTTCGGCTGGGGCCATTCTGTAGGGTGTTTTGGAGATGGGTTGTGTTCCTGGCAAGACATCCACAGTAAACTCTATTTCCCTATCGACCAGGTGGCCAGGTAGTTCATCCGGAAAGACGTCGGCGAATTCCTCAACAACGGGTATGTCGGCTAACTCAACACTCCCATTCAAATCACTTAGTATACTGCACAAATAACCCTGACATCCCTTTTGGATCAACTTGTAGGCTTTCATGGATGAGATTAAGTAAGGGAGGGGTACTACCCCTTTACCCTGAAAAATGACCTCGGCTTGGCTTGGGGTCTTTAATGTGACGCTCTTAGTAACACAATTAATGGAGGCATGATTCGCTACTAACCAATCCATTCCCAATATGACATCGAAGTGAGTCATGCTTAATGGCATTAAATCAACTAACAACTCTACATTCCCAACCACAACAATACACGCCTTATAAATGGATGTAACAATCATATTTCTCCCAGAAGGGGTAGACACAGATAATACATAATCAAGGGGTTCTAATTCTCTATTCAACTTCTCGGCAAATATAGTGGACACAAAGGAATGCGTAGAACCCGAATCAATCAATACGTATGCAGCTTGGGAACAAATTGAGAGGGTACCTGATACTTCTCGTCATTCTGGGCGTCACCCGGCACCAATGCAAAGACTCTGCCTTGCCTTGCCTGTGTTCTCCCGACGTTATTACTCTGTGCAGGGCCCGAGGTGCTTCCATTCCTTTTTCCGCCGTCAGTCCTAGCTTTCGGGCAGTCCTTCACGCGATGGCCTATCTCGCCGCACTCGTAACAAGCCCCTGTTGCCCAACGACAAACCCCGAAATGTAGCTTCCCACAACTCGTGCACACCGGCTTAGCATTACCTTCCTGATTTGAGTTGTTGGAACCATCTGTACTCATTCTCTTCTTGGCATTGAACGGAACTCGGCGATTATCATAGTTCTGTCTCTTCTTCTGACCCTCACCTGAACTCTGGTATCGGTTTAAATTGGCTTCAGCCAGGATGGCCTTGTCCAGCACTCCGGCGTATGTCGGCATATTGAGCATGTTGACCCTATCTTGTATCGGTCCACGCAACCCGCTTTCGAACTTCCTCGCTTTTCGGTATTCGTCGTCCACCATGTGAGGCGCATATCTCGCCAGTTCAGTAAAGGCACGATCGTATTCCGCCACGGTCTTGTTCCCTTGCATCAGATTCTGAAACTCTGTGGTCTTTCGATCACGAACGCTGAGAGGGAAATGCTTGTTGTAGAACAACTCCAGAAATTTTGCCCAAGTCAAACCCGGATTGCTTTCCCGAACCATCATCCACCACCTACGAGCATCGTCATCTAATGTGAATGCCGCTAGAGATACCTTCTGGGCGTCTGTACTGGGAAAGATCTCAAACAACTTCTCCATCTCTAAAACCCATGCCTCGGCTTTCATTGGTTCTATGCCTCCTTGAAATCTCGGCGGTTTCATTTTCTTGAACTCTCTAATTAAGGTTATCGTGTCGTTCCCATACAAAGCCTGCTGTAGGGGCACTTGTGGCACTGGAGGGGGTGGAGCTGTATAACGGCCATTCGTCTGTTCGGCCTGTGTGGAAGTGGTACCAGTGTCCTGTGGCCTAGATTGTCTCTGCTCACGAACCAAACCTTCGACTAACCTTTCCAATCTCTCCAATCTATCTTCTGAACGATCTCGGCCAACCGGAGGTCTACCTCTCCTCATGATACTAGAAGGATGCAAGATGAGACTTTAAAATAACTGAACAAGTAATACATATGCAAGTAACAAATGTCTATGCCAAAATGATGCACACGTAGTCAAGTAGCAAGTAATAGGATGCAATCCTAACATTCTTCTAAGGGACATCCTATGCTCTTTAGGACTCAAAGTGTGTGAATAACGTACTATAAGGATCTTGTGCTCTGATACCATTCTGTTACGCCCCCAAACCGTCCCTAATAGTTTGGTGCCGTGATGGCCAGTAATCCGTAATTACCGAAGGCCAACTTACAAAATTTCACACACAATCAGAGTATTTATATAGGGGGCTCACAAATGCGGAAGCAAAATACATATATAAAACTGAATAGTCCCTGAGAGCCGTGCATAAGTTCAATGGAATGACATACATTAACATCTTTGCAGGTCTTACAATTTAGGTACAATAAAGAAATGAAATACAAATTACATCTTGACCAAAAGGCTTCTCAAGCCGACATATGCCAAAAACAACAAAAACACATAAGCCGAGATGCATAATCTTCAAGACGGCGCAAAACGCTAGACCAAACATGTCGGCAACACGCCCAAAATACATCGGCATCACACTTAGGCCTCAATGCCTTCTTGCTCATCACCTACATATATATAGAGAGGGTGAGCTTGGATACTCAGTGAATGATATTAGAAATAAAGGTTTTGCATGATTGATATCCAAGATTTCTTTCAAAACAATACATAGCATACTTTACAATCAAGAGGGAAATCAAGCTCATTGCCGGCCTTTCAAGTTCCTTGGATGTTATTACATCTACTTAATACAAGTGCGATGACATATCAAGACAAGAGTGCAGTTGCATTATAGTCCCCTGCAACTAAGGACTTTCAAGAAATGTCATCAAAACAAGATAGTGCTTGATATACAAATAGGGATAGTCATTCATGCTAAATCAAATACTTTTCAAGACAAGTCAAAACGAGATTTATCAAAACAAGTGTAACATAGCTTTATTAGAAATACCACTCACATCGTTTCTTCAACGTCGGGGTCAAGAAAGGTCCAAGTCCTACAATCACATGACAAAGCGTACTTGAACATATTCCTCAAAACAAGTCTAACATGCATGCAAATGATTTTGGAAAACATACTGGGCAACCCATGAAGAACGTGAAGAACATGAACATGAAGATCATGAAGAACATGGATGCCAGAATCATAACTTCTTTATTTGCAAAATCTGGGATTTCATGCTATGAGTTCAAAAACATGGACCTGGGTACCCATACTTGAAAATCATATGAAAACAAACACAAAAACATGGATCTTGGCATGAGCTTTCGGATCAAAACATGACTTTTCTTCAAGAACACATGAATACTATTTTCTCTTTCTAAAACCGAACTTCAAAGCAATGCATGGCTTACAAATCATATTCAATCATGTAACGCAATAACATGAACATAAAGAATAACACGAGCAGCTGAAGAATCTAACCTTTGAACACGGATCTAACGGTTCGATCTCTAGGGATCAAGCTTGGAAATCCACTCTCCCTCAAGAACTCCTCTTCCTCTCCTAGAGCTTCTTTCTCTCTTCTTCAAAACAAGGATATAACAAATGATAGGTTTCTCCATCTGCCGGCTGACTTAACACCCAGCTCGGACACGTGGCAACGGCTGGTTGGCCTCCTCAAAAAGGTTATAGATTGACAAGACATGTGTAAGACAAAGTGTATCTAACAAGCTACCCGGTAAGGCACCCCGACAAGTGATGACATCGGCTAAGGACAAAGCTTCGGCAACTAAGGTGACAATGACCTCGGCTAGGAAGGACAACACTTGACTAAGCTGTGCCACACCTTGGCCTAGATGTGCCACACCTCGGCCTAGGTCATACCACTCCAGGACGAGATCACTTGGGTACAAAGGTAACATCTCGGCCAATGTAGTCAAAGCAAGGACGGAGGTCGACGAAGGGCTCCAAGATACTTCTAAACAGACGATGACCTCGGCTTGGAATGATCTAGGCGTAACGTAACCTAGGCTTGGCATAACATCGGCTAACATCACTCAGGCAAGGCGTGACCTAAGTCTCACATCAAGGAAGAAACAAGACAAGCACACAACACTTAGACAAGGCACAAGGCTTCAAAACAAGGCACAGACCCTACCCACTAAAGCAAAACAAGTCACAATATACAATGCAAGCTTAACAAGCCAAAACATACGGATGCTCATGAATATGACTAAGACATAAAATGTGGGTTCTTACACTTATCACCTAGATGGCCCTCTATAAATATGAGGACCATCACACAAGATCAAGGATCAGAAAATCAGAAGTGAGAAGATTAGAGAGAGAGAAAGAAATTAAGAGCTAAAGAAGGCGTTACAAGAAAGAAGAAAAGAAGCCTAGAGAACTCAAGAACCTACGCTACAAACGCAAAATGGCGATGAATAGGTAAAGGGTTCCAAACCCAAGAATTGTACTTTGTATTCAAGGGTTCAAAACCCATAACAAATTCAATAAAATATTTATTTTTCTTAAATTGTCTTCTGTTATTTATTTTGTTCTTCATTAATCGGAGGTTTTGTTTATATAAAATGTGTAATTAACGATCTGGAATATAGATCGAAAATAGGAACCTACTATTCAAATAATCAACACTGTTTACTCCAAAAACTAAACGGTGGACATTTGTAACATAAAATTTTGAAATGTGTTGAAACACTTCATGTTTTAAAATTTGTGTCTACACTACCATACATATTTCATAAGTAGCTAATATTATTATTAAATAAATTTTTTTTTTTTAACACAACATAAAAATATAACTTCATTTTTTTAAAGGGAGTTGGCAGATCGGGTTGGGTTGGGTGACCTCTCATCCACCATCCGTCCGAATATAAGAGGATTTGAAAAATCTTCATTTGTATCTGTCCACCCATACTATTGAAACCGCTTAAAAGTGAATGGATTAGGTCAGGTCAGTCAAATTTGCTGGATTGGTCGGGTCTGTGAGCATCTTTATCATAAATATATCAATTGAATAATCGATTAAAGAAAATGAATTATAAGTTGACATCCAATTGATTGCCCAATAAACAAAACTTTATAATGTATTGGTAAAAGTCATGAATTATTATGGTGAAGCGCAATTCAAAATGTTATGATTTCAATGTGAGAACTATGATTTATACTGATAAAAGTTATGATTTTTTAAGATTCTTATAGGTAAAAGCTATGATTTGTAACAACAATATAAAATGTTATAATTTCAATGTGAAAAGTTATGAGTCATTGCGGTGAACCATATACAATCTATAATGTTATGATTTTAAATTGAAAAGTCATAATTTGTACTGATAAAAGTTATGATTTGTTCTAACTTTTATTGGTAAAATTTATGAGTTGTTACCACAATTTAAAATGTTATGATTTTAACGTAGATAGTTATGATTCTAATAAAAGTTATGATTTGTTGTGGTGAATCACAATCCAAAATGTTAAGATTCTATGATAATTTATGATATTAATTACATTAGTTAAGAGTGGCAGTGATATTATTATGACATAGTGGTGGGTAGTGGCAACTCTATAAATGATAATTTTCAAAAACTATTAACCAAACAGAATAATTTAAACTTCCTAAACAGTAGATCTGGTAATGATGTCATATTAATAAATACATGTGAAATTTTATATGTTTTGTATTAAATGATTATTTATAAATAATGAATTCGTCTTATGTTTATGTAGTAGTATGTTGATTTTTTTTTTTTTTTTTGGGTGATGTGTGCTCATGAATTTTCTCTAGTGTGCTCTGCATAATCAGGGCCCGCCCTGAAATTTTCTAAGCCCCAGGGGAAGTTTGAAAATTGAATAAAGCTTCGTAGCCCGAATTTTAAACCCCAATGGCCCTAATTTTAGCACCCTCTCTCTCCGATTTTGGACCTCACGTGCACATACACCTTTTCTCTCCTCTCTATCACTCTCTCTCTCTCTCTCTTTCAGACCCACCCAAAGTATCTGAATATCGTGCAAACTGTTTCAGTCTAAAATTCAGTCACTACATTCAGTCCAAAATCATAGAAACTGTTTTTCTATCTGGGCTTTCAACAAACACCTAGAATACCTTATCAAATTCGAGCTACAAAGCTTTATTCTTTCTATGTGGACTTTCAACAAACACCTAGAATGCATCAACACAAAAAAATTGGCCACACAACCAAATAAAAATAAAAAAAACAAAGCCAATCTCAATGAATCCTTTTGCAATTGAATGAACAGAATGATGAATCACAATGAATCATTATCAGCAAAATTCAAACAAGAAATCAGAACACGAGCGCGATTCAACCTTTATCAGCAAGATTCACAATGAACTATAATGTGTTTTTCTTGGCAAAATCAGCAAAATCAATGAACTCTAATGAATGTTGTAATGCTCTTATAAATGTTGCCAAAAAAAACACATTCAAAGCCAATATTTACTTTGCCAAAATCAGCAAGATTCAACCTTTACTTACATTGCCAATCTCCTATGAATGTTGTAATGCTCAACAGCAAGAGAGGTGCACGGTGGTCTACCTAGGTCGGTGGTCAGTGGCGGTCGTCGGTGAACACCCAGTCGGTGGTCATCGTCGTCATCGGTGAACACCCAGTCGGTAGTCATCGTCGTCATCGGTGAACACTCAAGTTGGTCGCTCGACTTCAGAGCAACCCAACCCAAGATCGTGTTCCTCTCTCTCTCTCTCTCTCCTCTCTCTTCTCTTTCTTCATTTTGTAAACTCGTGGGTTTCACGCATGGTTGAGGGATCTGGCACAAAGGCTATTCACGTATAAATAATAAACAAAATTATTTATTTAATTATTTTACTCTAAAGATATATAATGTAAATTTAAAATTAATGTAATAAGAGCCATACCTAGAATCAATGAGATCTATATATATATATATATATTATATATATATTTGGTCTTTAAGAGAAACTTTATTTTTTAATATCAAATTTAGAAATTATCAAATTTAAATTTGATAAAAATTTAAAAAGATATTAAAGATATATATATTTTTTTTTTCATCAAATTTGATAAAAATGAAAACTTGAGATATGAAGAGAATTTTTAGGAAGATTTTCACGAAAATTTGATGAAGAGTTAGAATAATTTACGTCGAATCAAGTTTTTTACTCAAATTTATAATCAAATTAAATCAAGAAAGAAATGAAGAGTTGGAGATACTCTAAAAACCTTTAATTTAAATTGTGAAGTTACATGACTTGGTTTAGATCTTTAGTTTTAAACCTACTAACCATAACAGTTAAAATTATTCGGAAGCCCTTATTCAGACTGCCTTACTCACTTAGGGCCAAGATTAGCTCTGTGCATAATGCTGCGAACTTTCCAACACGGACTAATGTTTTTCTACAATGGCTTGACTTGGTTACTATAACAACCCTCGTTTTTGCCTTGGTCATATTCATGAGCATTTATATGATTTTGCCATGTTAAGCTTGTATTTGTAGACTTTGATTTGTTTTTCCTAAGTGTTATATGCATGCTTTGTTCCTTGCTTTGTGTGTTGAGCCTAAGTCATCTATCCTTGCTGTCTCAAGCCAAGGTCACACCTTTGAACCTCTTGCACTTAGGCCGTTGAGCGCCAACACCTAGGACCATCTTGAAACCACCTTGGTTGACCTCCACCATCACCCTGGCATATTGGCCAAGATGTGCATCACTTAGGCCGAGGTGTGCATCACCTAGGCCGAGATGTGTACCATCTAGGCCGAGATGTTATCATCTAGGCATTCGAGATCTTTGACCCTTGCACCTAGCGATCTTGTTCCTGGACTGGTATGACCTAGACCGAGGTATGGCACATCTAGGCCAAGGTGTGGCACAGCTAGGTCAAGTGTTATCCTTCCTAGCCGAGATCAGAGAAACCTTACTTGCCGAAACCTATGTTTGATCCGGGATCATTGCCTTGTCAGAGTGCCCATGTCACCTTACTTGTTATACACACTTTGTCATACTCTTTTTTTTTCACTTTGGCACTTTTTGAGAAGATTTAATCCGGTGATGCCACGTGTCCCACCAGTAGGCTTTAGTCAGTGAGCTGTTGAGAAAACATATCATTTGCTATATCTTTGCCTTAGAAGAGAGAGAAGCTCTAGGGAGAAGAAGAAGTAGTTCTTAGAGTAAGAACTAGATTTCCAAGCTTGATCTTCATACTTTGAACCGTTGGATTCGTGTTTTAAGGTTAAATTCTTGGTCTACTCTTGTTGTTCTTTATATTGATCTGATCACCTTGCATGATCTATCATGATTCATGAGCCATGCATTGATTTAAAGTTTTGTTTTAGAAAGAGAAAATGATGTTCTTATATTCTTGAAAAAAAACCATGTTTTGATCTGAAAGTTTGTATCAAGATCCATATTTTTGTGTTTGTTTTCATGAAATCTCCAAGTATGGGTACCCATGTCCATGTTTTTGAACTCATGTCATAAATCTCAGATTCTGAATAAGAAGTTAAGATTTTTGGCATTCATGTTCTTCATGTTCATGTTCTTCAAAGGGGAAACCCAGATTTCCAAACTTCATTTCCCTAAGTGTGGACACTGAGACCCACTCTTGCTTAGACCTCACACCTAGGCTAAGCATCGTATCTCACCTTGGCCTACCTTGCATGATCACTTGCACCTTAGTTTATCTTGAATGCACACCTAGGTCAACCACTGCATACCTAGGCTGACCATGGTACACCCTTGCTGGCATCTTGTAATATCTCAGTAGGCAGCCGCACACCTAGGCCTAGGAGACCACACCTCAACCAAGACCTCCTGAGTTCACCCAACTAGGTCATTTTGGCCTAGATCATCTCTGTGCACCCATTCCAAGACCTGGTTGGTAACCCAACATGCTTTTCCAAGAAGAAAAATAGTGATTTAACTCCCAGCACATGTTTTGCTTTATCTTGACTTGGTTTTGGAAAGAAATGTTGGGATCTTTTTCACTCATGTAAAGCTTGTTTTGAAAGTGCATTTCATACCCGTCTTTGAGCATTCCTTCTTGTCTTCTTGAAATGCATTCAATAGACTTTGCTATATGATTGTGGGTCTTGGATTCTTGCCTTAAGCCCTACATCTGAAGAGCTATTGTGAGCGGTATTTTTAATAAAGTAATGTTACAATGTTTGATAAAAGCTTTGCTTTTTTTTGTTTTGGAAAAGTATTTGATCAAGTATGAATGATTATCCATTAGCTTTTGTATCAAGTATTATTTTTGTTTTGATGACATTCTTGGAAGGTTTTTTCGTGCTAGGGGACGTTAATACATGTAGCACCCTTGTTTGAGATATCTCTTGTGTCATCGATGGTCATGTACGGATGGTACCACCCACGGTCTTGTACAGGTGGGTTTGTCTAATCGATTTCAGGTCGGCCACCGACGGTCATGAACGGGTGTGCTTTCGATTCCAGGACAATTATTCCATTGTTTTGTCTGAAATGTCATCCCTTGGTATTATGTAGATGTTAGTAAACATCCAAGAAGCTTTGAAAGATTTTGATTGATGAACTTGGTTCATCCCATGTTTTGTTACTAGATATAATATGTAATGTTTTGATAAAGATCTCGGATATCATTCATTCAAACCTTTATTACTTATATCATTCACTGAGTATCCAAGCTCACCCTCCCCTTTATATATATGTAGGTGACGAGGAAGAAGGCGGTGACGCCTAAGATGTTATTTACAACTTGTATTTGAATTCATGTTTTGCTAGCATCTTGAAGATTATGCTTCTTAGCTTTGTAGCTCATGTCTTTTGTACATTTCGGCTTGAGAAGCCTTTTGATCAAGATGTAATATGTACTTCATTTTATTTTGTATTCAAGTTGTAAAACCATGATTTAGATATATGTCATTTCATTTGATCTATCCACAGCTCTTATGAACTACTTGGATTTAAATTTATGCTTCCGCACATGTAAGACCCATATGTATACTCCGTTGTGTGAATCTTTGTAAGTTGGCCTTTGGTAATCTCAGATTACTGGCCATCACGGCATCATTCTACTAGAGACAGAATGGGGTCGTGACAGTTACTTAGCCTCAAAGTAGACCTATTTGGTCCTTGATTCTTTGAATGAAATCTCTTATAATTTAAGTTATTTAGCCTCAAATTTGATAAAAAGGAAAACTTGAGATATGAAGAGAATTTTTAGAAAGATTTTCACGAAAATTTCACGAAAGAGTTTGAGTAATTTATATCAAATCAAGTTTTTTTCACAAATCTATAATCAAATTAATTCAGGAAAGAAATGAAGAGTTGGAGATACTCTAAAATCCTTTAATTTAGATTGTGAAGTTACATGACTTTGTTTAGATCTTTATTTTTAAACCTACTAACCATAATAATTAAAATTATTCGGTAGCCCTTATTCAGACCGCCTTACTCGCTTTGGGCCAAGATCAACTCTGTGCGTAATGCTATGAACTTTCTAACATGGACTGATGTTTTTCTACAATGGCTTGACTTGGTTACTTAGCCTCAAAGTAGACCTATTGGTCCTTGATTCCTTGAATGAAATCTTTTATAATTTTAGTTATAATTTTTTAAGTATTGTGAAAAAGTAATTAGAATTATATAATAGTTGAATTTGGATCCAAGTATTTTATTTTTGAGTACCTAAAGTTAAATTTATTGATTTTTTTTTATTTTATATTATTGCTAGAAAAGCCAGTTTTTGGCTATTTAAGCTAAAAAAAATTATCATTCTATTTTATCTTATTTAGATAGTAGACCTATTGGTCCTTGATTCCTTGAAAGAAATCTCTTATAATTTTAGTTATAATTTTTTAAGTATTGTGAAAAAGTAATTAGAATTATATAATAGTTGAATTTGGATCCAAGTATTTTATTTTTGAGTACCTAAAGTTAAATTTATTGATTTTTTTTATTTTATATTATTGCTAGAAAAGCCAGTTTTTGGCTATTTAAGCTAAAAAAAATTATCATTCTATTTTATCTTATTTAGATAACAAAAGAAAAAAAAATAATAGGAACAATCCCTATTTCACAATTGCTAAAAACGTCATATCAAATTTTATTTTATCTTTCGTAAAAAAATTTAATTCTCAATTCAAATGCCTTAATTTTTTTTAGCAACAACATTCTTCTAAAAAGGTAAAGGAGCTACTAAAAGAACAGTTGTCAAATCAATCTTGAATGACTATATATGTACAAAAATAAATCACACAATAAATCACACAATAGGTCACAAAATACTCACAAAATAAATTTACACATACTCACAAGTGTATTTATCTTGTGGTGAAACATTGCTTGCAAGTATTATGTGATTCATTCAAGATATGTATCTATGAAAATATCTTTTCTATGGCTAAATTTGCCACCAATCTCCATGTTGAGTCTTGGCTAACATGGACTGTAACACTTGTGCTTCTTTGGTCCTTGTGACGGATTTAATTTCTTTCCATCTTGTCATGTAGATCCTTTGAGAAGCATATTTGGTTGTTGATTGAGTGAATTATGAGTTAAACTTTGTTTAGAATTGGTGTATCATAGGTTTGGATTGTTAAAATCCGGTCTAAACTTGATTGGGTAGTTTTATGCACTTGTTTTGTTTTGTTTGGTGCCTTGAAACCTTTTATTTCTGCCCAAGGTGTCGACCCTCTGCTTCCTGGGCTTTGACACTTGCCTATCTTTTCTTTTCTCTCTGGTTTCTGCCTTCAGGGGTCGGCACCAGCTCTTCTTGGTGTTGACACTGTTGGACCTGGGTTGTGCATGTTGCAGCACTGC